AGTGGGCACTACAAGGACAGGAACAGGCCGGTTCCCTCCATAATGGGTATATATAGTAAATAATAGAGTTTTCCCAATATAGTAACGTAATTTAAGTTCCTTCATCCCTATATTCCCCCAGTTTCCATTTCATTTTCCATTTTCTTTTCCATTTTCTTTTCCATTTGAATCACCATTATCGGAATTTCATCCTGTTCAGAACCCCTGACTCGCCTTGCCATCGATGATGTCGTAGCCCCGCCGGCGCTGCTCCTGTGGCAGCATGAAGAGATTTACACACAACTGCAGAACCCTGCACATGGCGGCAAGAATTACCAGCAAGATCGCGTTCCTTGCAATGACTCATACAGATTAAAGTGGGTCTCAACTAAGCTTTACATGGGCGTTCAGAGGTTTGGTGTTTGAGCCTTAAGCTTTGAGCTTTGGGGCTTCTTCGGATCCGGATCTGGCAGTTTCTGGCCTTTGTTTAGCTAGGAATGAAGGAATGGATCCTTATAGTAATCCCTGTAAAACCCATGATAGTAGTTTCCATGATCATTTTCATTCCTTCATTCTCACCCCACACACTAACCCCTAAACCCTATCTGGTTTCCATGTTCTTTTCCATTCCTTCATTTCCAGCTAACCAAAGGCCAGATTTGATGGATTTGAGTCGCTCTATGTCACTCTGAAGGATGGTAGCGTGTCTCTGCCACATCTCCTCGTATCTCTCAGGCGCCACGCGATTCAGCTGACGAGCCTTGCAACCAGCTGAGGAAAATAATCGCTTCTATGCGACCCTACTTAGGGGGGCCATTCAAACTCCTTTCATATGACTCTGGTTACAAAACATGGTCCGGTTTTAGCCCTTTTTCAAGCCTAGAGGTATGAAGAGGAGCGTATTCTGCAGAGTTTGGTTACAACCTTCAGCGACAGCACGCGAAGGGTTCCCTCAACCTGCTCCAGGGAACCATCCACATCGTGAAAATCCACGACAAAGCTCTCTTTGGAACTGCCAGTGAGATCGTATGAGGCAATGTACTACAAGGGTGCCACTAGACATATCATCCACACGACTCAGTGAAAGAATGGCAGCGACCTGCTCCTTGAGGGCCGACAGCGTACACGTGGTGCTACCACCATGCTTGCAGACTTCAGCCGGTAGCACTATTGACCCATGCCGGGCCTCGCGTATGTGGTCGCCCTTGATATCCTGCTGGCAGAGAGGCTTTGATTCAGAACAGCAAAGAGCGTATTTAGGTTTTGGGAGGGCCCTGTGCAGCCTTGACCTGCGCATGTGCGGTGCTGAGGTCAAAAGCACGCTAGGGTTATGTTGTAACAAGATCATCAACTCCCTAGACCTTCAACAAACAAACATCTTGTTATGTTCACTCATGTCAGATGACACACATTCGCCTATCCAAGTCTCATTGGGATGATGCCATTTCAAAGCAAACGCGAAACCTAGCTCCATGACCGCCACAAGCAAGAAAGAAATGCGGGGAGCCGGGCCCTGGCGTGGAAGTTGTGGTCGATGATGTATCGATTCCTGGCAGCGACATCATGAAGGATCTCTATAATAACTATAATAGTCCCCAAGTTGTCTTAGATAAGAATTCTTGTAATCCATCTCCCCATCAACAGCAGAGTTTGTGGTGCAAATGTAAAAGATGCCTTTTAAGGTAGCGCTTGGATCCACTACCCTCCTGTTGGCTGCTACACAAATTCATCTCCATCCAAGTTGACTAGGACAAGCCAACAGAGCCGGGTCAACCCTCACCTCAACCCTTTTATAACTCCTCCCAAGGGGTCCCCGAAAGCCCCCAAACACGGCAGGCGACTTGTATCGGTCCGTGCGCTCGGCCGCCATGGTGTCGAAGAGGCGGAGCATGTCAGGATCATAGGTCTGTGCAGCAAAATGGATGAAGCCCACAGGAATCGGAGAATCCCACTGCAGAGCATGATGAACTTGGGAGCTCATAACACCAGACAGCAGTAAGTCTTGAGCAGGCTGCTTAGTGGGTCTGAAGCTGATGTTTTCCATCTAACCCAAAACACCTCACTCCCCTGATCTGAATGGGGTGCTGCAACAACACCAAGGAGGGCCAAATGCTCTTCCAGCTAACTGAGCCATCGCATGCTTCAAGGCATGATTCTCAAGTCACGGGTTTTGAGCTCTTTGGGAAATGTTGTCAGGCGAAAGCAGGCCGCCGCCTCGTGCGAGACAATGCCGTAAGCAGCCGTCTCTCGACCCTGCAGCTTGAGATGGGTCAAGCTTCAGCCCTTTGGGGGGTTTGAAAGCCCCTTTGGACAGAGAAGCTCAATATCTTTGCTGTAAAGCTGTTGCCGTAGGGTTTGAGTGAAATGATAACGAAATTATTTGCATGTCATTTTCTATTGCCTGTCTCATTTGAATTTCCATTACTAGGCCGCTAGTCTAGGTTAGGGTTTAAGGTTTGGAGTTTAGGTACAGGATCAGGTATGCGGGGTGCGGGCCTTGGGAATGCTTTGGAGGAGCTGTCTCAGGTGGGATTGGAACTTAGGGTTTTCTGGGTGGATCAGGGCTCAGGGTTCAAGGCCTACAGGCTTGGAGCTGTCTGATTCAGAACTTCGGACCTGCGATTCTATGCTGAAGAATCAGGGTGCTGGGCAGCAAGATTTTTCCACCAACACTCAGGACTCATCAGCCCGGAACCTTCCCCATCGAAACCCTACATCCTGGAAAGTCTTTACCTGACAACAGACTAACCACCTTTCATTCATGGAAGAGTTACCACCATGCACGCACAGCAAGCTACCCGAACCAGATCAGCTGGAAAACTTCTGATGTTAACCGAGCCTTGTAGGCGGGGGGATACTGAGCATTCCCGCGCATCGCGATCTCCACCTGCCCGAAGACCGCAGGAAACTTAGGGCCTCAGGGTCTGGGAGCAACAGCTTGGACCATACCCCTCCAGAAGTGACTTCAACAAGAAGTTTCAGGCCCTGCTGATGTTGAATGATATTGACAAGGTTCTCCGGAAGTTCGAGATACCAGACAGGACTGGCAAGCTGGACTTCTTTTTGTGGAAGCTTGGTTTACATGAATCCTTATGCTGTCATAAGAATGGAGAGGCATGACCACAAAGAGAACTGAGTTTCTATGGATGGCCGCAGTACAAAACTCACTACACTCCAATCCGGATTAGAGGGACTCCTAAAAAAAACGACCCTAATTTGGGACCTAAACCCTGAACTCTAATTTCTGGACCCCCCCGAATCACTCTGTGGCCTCCCGGGTGTGGTCGATACTCTGCATGCGCTCTTCTCGGTAAGGGTCGATGAACTTGCCCGCGAGCTCGGTGCAGCGGGACAGGAGAGGTTTGATTCGACATGGGTAGTTCCCGAAATTATGGATGACTTTGGGAAATGATGGGTAATAATGAAAAACTTAATGGAAACTACTATATATATACATATATATATATATCTAATTAGTGTTTAGGTTTTAGGGAAGTATGTGTAGTTCCCCCAACTAGGATCCCATTTTGGTACCCCTGAGTATTATGTGCCGTAACATGATCCATAACCAAAAGGGCAACAACCTGCATGTCTCCAAACTTTGGGGTCTGTTGCCAGAGCATCCTTGCTCTCGGTTTAAGGTGGGCTTGGCTTTCAATTTGTTGGCGTCTTCCATGGTACTAAGAAGGGAGAGCAAAAGACACCTCTGCCAGGGTTCCAAAGGTTGATTCAAAGCCTACATAGGGACCATAAGATGTGCCCTGTAATTACCAGCATGTTTGACGCTCATAGTTTTGTGCAGAGAGTGATAAGGAAGCAGCAGGATCATAGCGAAAGTATAAGGGGTCGTGAAATAGCGGCAGTCAAATAGGGTGCTGCACTTGACGGAGGTTTGCAAGGGGAGATGAAAGTACTAGTGGTTACGTGGGTTTTCCTCACCTGCGTGAACTTTAGAGCTTGGAAAAGAAACTTTCCTATACCTGAGGCAAGGACTGGATCGTAGGCGTTCTTGGTCATGTGCTTGTCCGTAGCCTGCGCAATGCTGCGAAAAGCGCACACTTCGCAACAATCTGATTTGCAAGAGAGGAACATCCAAACATTCTTCCGAAGCCCCAAGCGTGCCCAGGACCACGACATCCGCCCTGGCAAAGCAGACGCCCCCAATTACCAGAACTCTTTGACACTCTTGCCGCATTAACAAAGGGGCAGACGCCACGCCTTTTGCGCAGCTCTGCCCCCCGCGTTCTGCTGAATGGGGGTGGCATACAGAAGCTGGCGGCTGCTAGCATAGCTGCAGAGATCTAAGATCTCGACTCCTAACGAGTCTACGATATTCTGTATTCAGAAGTGCCCAAAATCCTTAATGTTGTGGCTACTGCCTCGGCCATTCACAATCCCTACATAGTCGCTACATAATCGCCACTTGACCCCTTTACAATCGAGGGTTGCGCTACTGTTGAAGTGGCTCATGACAATCAGAACGACAGCACAAAACATAATGCGGCTTGAAGTTTAGTATTGGATACCATTGATCTTCAAGCATAACACTGCAGACAATCACCATGCATGATGGCAATGCCGATGAAAGCTTAGGGGAATTTCGTTGTCAGTTCCCATAGCCAACCAAACAGCAACTACTACTTGCGTGTGTTGACCCTACATGACCCTACGACGCCCAGCAGGGGCGCGCTGCAGTTGACAAATCCGATCTGAGTTGGACGGATGCTTATATGGCACAAGCCATCTACGAAGCTCTAGAGGACATCGCCTCATCGATTCATTTAATTGGTCCCCTATGTCTTGACATGCACTCCGGAATTTTCAGGACTAGTCAACTGCCACGTACATCATTGGCTATGGACCCATGGGCCCGAGGCTTGGAAAGAAGTTTGTCTTTTCCACTCTGGTGGAACAAAACCATGCGAGAACCTCCCGTATAGTGGCATACTGTTTCCCTGAAACAACAAACGTGTGGAGAAGCAGGCTTGGATGAGCGCAGATTGGGCTGCAACCCGGTGATGCTAGGAATTCAGCGTCGGCAAGCTGCTGGACCTCGAGGAAATCCAGAACATGAAAATTGAGGTTCCCTTTTCTTGCTAGAGATGGCTGGGGCTGCGACGCATGCAGCAGGTGCACCTGATGTTAAGGCTGGGTGTCCAGGCAGAGGTTCAGTGAACAACATGTTTAAATCGACCCAGTCTGGGGTTTGGCCACTAGGGTTTTGGGCTTGTGGCTACGCTTACACTTGGACTAGTCCGGCTCATGCACCCAAATAACGTGAGCATGGCGACCAAGCGAGCCACTACGGTCAAAAAGAGACCCCTAATTCTTAACGACCGGCGGCTTGGGAAGGCCAACAGTGCAGATGAGGACAGCTCACACCTGAGACTCGGACAGACTGCGATGGTTGCATTCTCCGCACCAGCTCCTCCCATTGGCAGATGACCAGACACTTCCGGTGATTTACAGTAGGACCCAGTCGGACCTAGGCTATGGTAATCTGGGCTGCTGATAAAGAACTTGATTTAAGTTACCAGAATATAGGCATATAGTAGATAATAGGTTTTTTTATTATTGTAACTTAATTTAAGTTCCTTAACAGAAACCCAGTGCTTCGGAGTTGGGTGCGCGCTCCTTCCAAAACACCTCACGATTTGTCCTAGGAATGGGTTTAGGGTTTAGGGCCACTGTAGTGAAACAGTCCAATTCCTATCAAAAGCTTGCATATTTCATGGCTGGATAGGTGCCACTGCACGATCCTTGCGCCACTTAGAGCAGTGGACTCCAAACTAAGCCGCAAAGCAGGCATCACAACCTTTGGCAACACCCATGCAGCCTGAATCCCATCCACCCCATGTCCCTGCGACCCCCCCCCAAGTCCCAAAAAAAGCGCCTCCAAGGCCACCCAGTCGCCGCCGGCTTCTGCCTCCAGATCGCCACCCCTGGCAACGTGAAGTCACATAAGGGTTTCAGACATTGAGGATCCAGGATACCCTTTTAAGGGTCCGCAGAACAGGGATTCTAAAGTATTGGGATCTACTTCGGGACCTCTTAGAGGTTAGTTATGGAAATCACTACATAAAGGGTTGCAAGAAGCAGGATCCCTTTGGTCCTGTGTAATAGGTCTGATAGGCAGAAATGCTAGCGCATATCAAAAACGTGACAGAAGTCCATCGCGCAAGAAACCCATCCCCTGCGAGCAGCTTGGGACCTACCGCGAAATTGACAAAAAATCCTACTGAACTTAACCCACTCCAAAATACTGCTCCAGCCCTGAAGATGCGCAATACCCGCACACATCTGGGGAGCTTCGTATGAGCAATGATGCTCATGTGGTCCTTGCCCTGCAAGATCCAACACAAGCTATGCGTAAGGCAGTTAAGGCAGTTGCACTTCAAAGCAATCTCAACTCCCTAGGCTGAATCCGGGGCCTGAGTCGAAGGGATACTCGCTGCGTCCCAAAGAGGTAGCTGCCCGGGCCCAGCCGGCAGAAGAGTGCCTCTGAATAAGGCCATGGCTTAGTAGCTCCTTAGGCAGGGGTAGCTAACAAGTTGAAGCTTTAGGGCAGTCACGATAATGATACTAATGAATCTGATAATGATGGCCACTGTAATCCATGTGCACGTGGGGACCCTGTGTACATGATGACAAAGGTTGCAAGGGGATTCGCGGGTTTCGCTGAAATCCTTTCGGATATGTTGGGAGACTTCCAAAAAGAGCGCAGCCCTTTAAGTACATGTTGTACCGGAAAACCTGTAGCAGCGGACCTCCGACCCTGCAATAGTGGTAAAAGTGGGCATAGAAGAGGCCCTGAACAGAATAGTTATTATCCGTTATAGTCTCTATTGCTGTGTGGAGGGTCCACCTAATGCATAGCTTCCAAAAACGAAGATCCCTTTGCGTGCAGAAGTAGCTTTCCTTGCTAGGTCTGGCTGTCTTGATCAATCAACAAATCCTCCGGCTGAAGGCCTGAGCCCAGGGTTTTGAATTTCAAATTCAAACAAAGTGAATTTGGCCACATCAGGACCCAAATACTAGGTATGCAACTACGTTGGTTGCCCCAATAGGGGCCCCACATTTAGAATAGGCACATAACCCACATGCAGCCTTGCTGGCACTGTTCTTTGGCTGGTTGGCGAACTCGGCGACCTCCCAGGCAAATACACAACTACTGCAAGGCCTGAATAGTCACTGTTTTTGGGGTCCTCAACTGTCTAAGATTTCATGAAGTCTTCTGTAAAGTTGAGCCCTAGGACGCTCTCAGGGCCAAGAAGCCCCACATTGTATTGGGGCTGTTTTAGCTGACCTTGGAATATTACTCACATGATCCCTCACGATGGCTTTAGTACGAATGCTGCACCTTTGGTGAAGACAGTGAGGTCTTTTGGGTCAACTCCCCCCTCCCCACCTCTATCGCAGGGGACTATTGTAGGTATATTAAGAACCTATTAACTCCATATTCAAGGGCTATTATTGTAGGGGGGCTGACCTAAGAATTCTTGTCCCACAGCGAAGATCAAGGTTGCGCATTGGACGCCTCTTTCTGCATGCTGCAATATACTAGTTTCCCAAATAGAGGGACCACAATATAGACACAAAACGTTATAATCCTTACTATGAGGACCCCCCAGTGGTACTCCTAATTTTGTGAAATCCGCACATAGCCCTGAAGAACTACCCTAAGTCCTTCTTGAACTTCTAAAGTCAAAGCAGATGAGGGACACAATGACTAAGCCCACCTGAAGCAAAATCAGCACAACACACGGCTTGACGTGGTGTCAGGCATAAGATTCCTTTGGAGGGCTGCTTGACAAAAATAGTTTGCCACGAGGCAAACCCTCTATGTCCGTCCCTCCAATTGCCCTATCAGGAAAGTGTAACAGCGAACCCTTCACTCCAACGCGAGATGTTCCATCATCCCTCCCAAAGCTCCATGTAGCCTTCTCATCGATTGGGTCGTCGGGGTGAGGCCTGACATGATGGCACTTTGCCACAGACAGATCCTTTGGCCTGTCATGCATCGACACTTTCTGCAACGTCCTGTACGCTTTCGTGAAAACCAAGAGTTGCGTCCGTGATTTGCTGTTTGGTGCTGGGATTACGAAGTCCTGGCAAAGTCAGGGCTGGCCGCGACTGGAAATCATTGTAGCCACAAGCTTCATCAATCGATCCTTCTGAATGCGTTGTCAACACCACCAAGGGATTCCTGGTCGACAGAATCAAGCGCGCTCGGCCAAAACTCAATGTCTACTGGAGTGTACTTCTCTATGATTATCACTACTACTATTATTATTATTGCTGCTCATATTACTATTATAACTATGATTACGACTATTACTACTATTCCTATTATTTCTCTAGCATAGGCATGAAGATGCCAGCTACCAGATGGCTGCGCGGCTTTTCTGAGAGGAAAACACATAGAAGGGGGGGCCCCAAGATTAGGGGTACCCTTTGAAGGGGTATATAATAGGGGATATAGAAGGTTCATGGTTTAGGGTTTCCTAAAAGGAGGGGATTCTGGTTGCAGTCCCTATACTTGTGGGAAACTACCACATAAGTGGCTGACAGCAGGAAGAAGGCTCATAAGTACACACCAGGCATGCCACACCTGCCGTAACAAGCCTGGCATGTGCAAAGACCTCTCCATGACTGGAAACCCAAATTTCATGGAAAAAAACAGCTGACGTGCAACATGTAAAGTAAGAACAAGAAGGATGACATGGATGGCTCCTAAGACTACTAGGGGTAATGAGTCAAAGTCCAGACAACCCGCTCCAATACTGATCACTCGGAAGCCCGAGCGTAAACCTAGCTTTCGCCTATCTCTCTCCATATGCCCTGCATAGCAGACTCCCTCTAACCCCAAAAGAAAGCTAGGCTGGCCCTTTCTGCCTGTACGCTTCCGCCAAAAGCACGGTGGAAATGGCCGTGGCAGGCAAGTTGATTGAGCTTGTGGGGCCTCTGCCAGAACGGGGCTTTTGCAGGCGCAATGCTGTTGAGGCCTTATATGGACATATTCAAGATTGGCCAGGTAGACTGCAGCTACTACAGCAACAGTAATAACAGTAATAGTAGCAATAGCAGTAATAGTAGCAATAAGTAGTAATAATAGGTCAGAGTAATACTAATATTTTTTTCCTGGTCAGTCGGTCAGTGCACTTCTACGCTATGAAGGATGGTATTAATCTTTCACCGCCCTAAAAAACCTTTCCTCCAGGAAATTATGGTATTCTGGGACATCCTGGCTGGGGCAAGATTTCCTCCATCCAGCCTGAACCCTAACCCCTAAATCCAAAGCATAAGCGCAAAACCCATGAGCCCTCAAACCCAGACTTCCACAAAAGCCACCCACCGCCCTGGACTCATGGGTCGCAAGGGCCTCGCCGGCCCGAGGGCTCTGCAGGCGGGCGACTGCCAGCAGACCTGGGCATAGGGTTTGGGGTTTAGGGATGAGGGTCTAGGGTTTAGAGTTTAGGAGTGGTCAATGGGTTGGGCCCCCACCTACTAATAGTGACCACAAGAGGTAAAAAGATTAGGATCCCTGTAAATTTTCTAGCATGCCATTATGAGCGGGTGCGGCCCGACCCAAGGAAGCGGCTCTTTTGGGGTTCTAATAAGTTTATATGGTTTTTTTCTCAAAAGGTTACATAGGGGTTTACAGGGATCGGATGGGGATTGTAATCTGGGTTATATAAGGGCTTTATAGGGTAAAGGTACATGGGGCTTATATAAGGGTATATCTACGAGTATACGGGTTATGGAAAATCATATGGAAGCTGGACCCGCAGGGATATATAGGGATAACTACCAGTCTTATGCAGGCGGGGAATGAATGGAAAATAGAAAGTGCTGGAATACTCAGGATCTTTCAGGTATAGAGATCGCTGCCATAATGCAGAATCAAATTATGGTAGGTCTTTGAGATGTTCTGAAAATCCGGCCGCATGAGTGGTCCCTTTACAACTGTTGCCGTGGGATCCACGTAAGCCATTGCCTAAACTCCTAGTAGCCCCCCTAATAACCCCTATATTACTCCGACAGATTTATATGTATATATAATCCCCCATCAAACCCCCTTTAAGGAGTTTAGACTACGTATAGATCATATCAGGAAGTTGTGGGGACACACAGGGTTTGGGGTTTAGGTGGCAACATGGGGCGCCAGAAATGACGGCGAAGGGTTCGGGATCCAGGATTAGGGCCTAGGGTCTGGGATGTTTGGTTGGATGTTCACTTCCCCAACCCAGAAGGGATCGTAAAAGCCTTATGCTTTGGAAACGTTATACTCTTGACCGGTAGGGTAGATTGGCTCCGCTGGATGTCTGAGGCGGGGTTCGCAAGCGCTTGTTTCCTTTTGAGGCTAGGTTCTAGACCTCGGATGTTCTGGGCATCTTCGTGGAGTTCTCCGGCTGTGGGAAAAAAGAAATTCCACCATCATACCCTGATACCACATGGGTGGTTGTCAAAATTATGGCCCCTTTTTGGATACCCTAAATATTAGGTGCCGTACTATAATAGGGATCCAAACAGGGACCATAGTTTTGACAACCGCCCACATGACAGCACCGTGAAAACCCTGGAAGGATGGAGAAGCAACCTCTTGTGCCGGTTCCCAGGCCCGGGCAAGGGCGAAAGCATCTCCGCAGATAGGGCAGCCCTTGGCTTACTGCTTCTTAGTAGGGAATGTGGGAATATAGGGGTTATATAGGGTTATACAGGGCTTATAGGGGTGATAGGGTTATATAGGGGTTATATAGGGGTTATTTAGGGTTATATAGGGGCATAGACAATCTTAGCAGGGAATAGGGGAATGTAATGCCTGTATAGTTCATATAATACCTAGAGTATCTATTCCCTTGTTCCCCACTAAGAACCAGGAAGTTGGAAATACATGCCCTTGACGCAGTTTCCATTTCGTGTTCCATTCTCTTTTCAATTTGATTCTCCATTATTGGGCACTACACCCCTATATAACCCTAAATAACCCGTATATAACCCTATCACCCCTATAAGCCCTGTATAACCCTATATAACCCCTCTATAACCCCTAGGTAAACCCTATATAACCCCTATATAAACCCTATTCTTCTTGAAGACCAGCCCTGGGGCAGTGGCGGCGGAAGCGGCCTGACAGCAGGTGCCTGAACAGAGCCAAGGAGATGTATTGCTGTTTCGGGTTTAGGGTTTAGGATTGTGTCATGGGCTGTTCAAGTGCATTTATGGGGCAGGTGGGGGCTGCGTAGGATCCTTTGTGGCATGTAAGGCTTCCCCCTGACCTGCGGTGATTTGACAACTGCACTTCCAAAAAAATCTACGTGGCAATAAGCAGTTTCGGTGTCAAGCTCAGTGCTTTTTGGGGGAGATGGGGCTTAGAGTCAAGGGATTAAGGGTTACGGACGGTTCTGCACGCAAGCCAGCTAAAACAACTTGAGCCTAATTACTCATGTCAAGTTCTTCAGAGTCCCAGGGCACGGAACAGCTTGAGCTTTGGTCCGAAACCTTAAACCAAGAATTTGCATACTCCCATAGAATTTGAGCACAAGGAACCTAACCAAGAGACTGCCCCCTAACAGTCGGCCTTGTTCAGCAACTGACTGCCCAAAGCGCCCCCTGGCTCTCTGGCTTTGGGGTTTTGGGTTCATCAGCTTTCGGTTTTGGGGTCAGGGTTCATTGATTTAAGGGAGGGCTTCGCGGTTTGGGGGTTTGTGAATGGTATTTTCAACGATTGGGCCCTTGGACTGCGGTTTTGGGGTCCCGGACTTCGGTTTAAAGGTCTAGGTCCCGAGCTAGGGCTCGACATGCAGAATTCGGGGGTTGCAACTCTTTGGGTGGACAAGGCACGAAGCTACCAGGAATGTTGTCAGCTCAAGACATTCCAGAGACAATCAACCTCCCTCTGCAAAATGCTATGCCTCAAACATCCCATTTGCACATTTAGCGTGAAGGGAATGAAAAGAATCAGGGTTCCACAGAAGCTGCCTTCCTTGGGCAGCTGCATGGCTATCACAACCGGTCAACTGATCCCCTCGCAGCTCCAATGTTTTCGAATAAAGGAGGTCAGCGGATGCCAAGCGGGGAACAGCAACATGATAGGTCTTGAATTCCTACTATCATTGCTAATGTTCCATATGTTTGCCATCACGTACGAGTAACCCACTGCGCAGATGCCACTCAAACCAGTGAAGCTGCACAGATCATCTGGGACCCCCGAGTAAATCTAAAGCTAACAGTCACGCCTTGCGAGCGCACAGGGGAAAACAGCGCAGCCTCCTTGGCAGT